TTTATCTGTAGCATCATGGACTTTTAACAAACTGCTTCACACACTTTTTTACAGAGATTTTTGGCTGCCTGCACTGAGTTACTGCAGCTAGGGCACTTCCCCTGGGTCTCTCTAGGCATCAATAAATAAGGATATGTAGTTTTTACTTGCTTTCCCTCTATCAAGGGAAAGAAAAAAAAAACAACCCCCACTCCATGTCTATCAAATCTTTCCGTTTATTTGAAGATGTAGAATTGAAAGTATATATGAGCAAAAAATATAGGATGGTTAAGAAAAACCTAAACGCTCACACTAACTGTAGTACTCAGTACTGTCTGTGCCCTTCAAGTGCTGTTTTACATACCAGACCTTACCCTGCTGCTCCTGGATTGCTCTCTGTATAGCAAATTTCTTTGCCCTGGTTAAGCAGTACGGAAGCAATGGATAGACAGTACTGCTTTCTGAGAGATACGCGATGGCATTCTGTTCCTGAAGGCCCAAATCCTCACCCTTAAAGGCTTGTTATTTCCTTCAGTTCTCCAAAACAGCAGGAGACTTGCAGCACGGGCAGTCTCTTAACTGTCTTTTTAAAACAAGTATTTATATTTAAGATTTAAGACAAGACACTACTGTGGACTCATACCGCTTTCTTTCCCTCCCTCCTATCCTTAATACAGCGCTGGCGGAATTTCTCATGGAGATGTGGATGAAAACTTCTGGTGAAGAATAGCTACTGATTTTTATTATTATTATTTTTACACTAGAAATGTTTTAAAAGCAGCTTTCTGCCTGTAAAAAGTTGTAACAAATGTTAGGCACCAAGATTGCAGGCTGTGTAATTACAAATTAATAAAGCTCGTCACTTCAATCACTGACTTCAAAGAGTGAGCCCTGATGTGTTATTAATCCAGAAGGAGGCCCTTGAGTGGGGTGAGAGAAAGGACAAAGGAGTGTAAGAAAATTAAGTCAGTACGTTCAGGTCAGTTGGCTTTGGCACTGAATTCCTGTAACCTGGGACAGCTTCTCCAAGGGGTGCTCCCCACCTCCCCCTGCCCCTTCCCCTCCAGCTGTTACGAAGGGTAGGTCACAGCGTGCAGGTAACAGTTGTCATCGTCACACGTTTTTAAAGGTGTCCCGTGGAGCCCCTCAGCTTCCGCCAGACCCAAGCTGAGGAAACACACACTTTTAGAAGCAGCCGTATCTCATGTATCACCTTGTTGGTATTAACCAGCCCAGAATGGAGAGATTCAAATAAAAATGCTATTTAACTCATCTTTATTTAAGCTTTGTATTTTGTAGGTAGATTATAGGCAAGATCATTAAACTTTATTTACAGTATAAAATACAGTATTTTTTTTTAATCAATGAAGTAATTTAGGTTGGCAGCATATATTACAACTTGCACTGCATTTGAGGCTGCTCATCTTGACCTAACTACAAGAACGTGAAGTCAAGTTTGACAGAATTTAAGGGCAAAAACTGAAGTTCTGTCTTGCGAATTCACTGGATGTTGAAACGCAGCGTACCCAAAAATGCGACAGAAATAAACTTTGCTTTTAGAAATTAAGATGAGAAGCGAGTTGGTGGCTAGTCTAATTGTACCTGCTGCTTAATTTGGTGTCGCTGTTACAAAATTTCCGTGAGACGCCTTCCATTTGCTGTCCCGGAAGGGGACGGATAGTGCTCGTTGCATTATGCTGGCCTGGAACAACTAGGGCTATGTCATGCTGGGAACACTGGCTGACGCACCACGCTGCAGCGGGCACCTGCAGGGCCGCCCTTCCCCCGGCAGGAGCACGTGGACAGATAGATACTACTGAACAAAAACGGGTTTCACTTCTGAGAGAGACATAAAGCCTAGAGATGCACTAGTATGGAGCAGCTATGGATCTGTTTTCAAATAAGCATACACAAGTGTCGTCTATTATCTACAAATATTTATTTTAACACTTGGATGTAACTACAGGAAGCCCTTGGCACTGATAGAAAATATTGATTCACTGTTAGGTTACAAAAATTTATACATAGCAAAATTTAATGCTCTTTACATAAAAATATTAGACTACTTAAACAAAACTTCAAAAACTCCCAGTAATAGCTACACTGAATTAGAAAAGAATTAGGCTTTAAGACACTGCCTCCATTATTACCCTTATGCAAACACTGGGCTAGAACATCACCTGCATTGCTGTAGAAATGTCTCCTTCATGCAACAGGTAAGAACATACACTAGGCTATTTTGTCATATTTGCTCTACATTGATCAACTTTGCCCCTTTTTTGAAACTGTCAAATTAGACTTCAATATGTAACAAAAGAAAAAAAAAATAATTTGAAGTTAATACCCCCCCCAAATGCCTTTTCTCTTAATACTGACTTGAAGAAATTTGTGCTTCCTTTGATTTATATTCAGCAAACAGTCAAAACTATCAAACCACACGTCAGTTTAACATGGGTATGACTTGAATATTTAATCTTTTCAAATTACTGATGTATTTTACTCCCCCCCCCAACAGTTATATATATATCATATAGAACAAACACCAAATATACCATCACTAATACTCAAGATACCACTGAATGCTTCTGAAAAAAACATTAATTAGAAGGCAGACTTCTATGGGAAATTACTTTAAAATGGCACCAGTTTGTGTTTGTTTTTTTTTTTTTCTGAACACCACATTTTCTTAGTGTGCTAATTAATCTGTAAAAAGGAAAACACATAAGCACTGACTATAAATTTGCTAAGCACCAAGATAGAGAAAGGTGGACATCCTGTATTCTGTTTTATGGCTGTAATTTTTATTGTTTGTGTAAAACTCTGCAAACTTTCTCATCCGCTCGTTTGGAATAGTCAGATCAGTGTCATTTTAATAAGGTAACACTTTTCACTTACTTAAAATGTAGGATAATGGTCTCCTGCCACTATATAAATGCTAAGACATTTATAGAAAATAAATATTAAGGCAAAGCTGACATTTATTTTCAAAAAGAAGGGGATCATTATCCAGATCCAGGGATCTACATTCCATTAAATAGTTAATAAAAAGATTAAAACTTGGGACATCTGCTCAACACGCACGTAAGCACAGGAGCGTGAGCGTCACTTCATCATAAAAAAAGTGTGGCACAGAAGCAGAGCGCTGTTCCTGCGGCCCCTGGAAAGAGGGGTCAAAGACAGCCCCGCTGCAACTTCGGGAACGCTGCAACTGCGCCGTCAGGTCAGCGCGAGCGGTCAGAAATAGAAATCTTAGCCGGCCACAGTTTCGTTTGGTAGATAAACGGAGATACTAAAAATCACACACCGCACACGTGCCTTTGCCTAAGGTCTGTACAGAGATCTACTGCCTGCTGGTTGGGAGCACCTGCCACGGTTTTGTGTAGGACGTCATGCTGTGGAACACGTCAAATATTAAATACCAAAAAGTCTCGAAGAAGAATAATTTGGTCACTTATTGTGAAGTGTTGCCTTTTAAAATGCCTGGAATAAAACCTCCATTCTCTGTATGAAAGGATGGAAGATTACCCATGGGAAGATTTCCCTACGAATGCGTTCCAGGAGCTGGAATGTGAAGCTTTTGCACTTCTCTCTAATTTTGTTTGGTAGACACACATCTGTACTGCAGAGCAGCTATTTGTTGATTTGTCAGAGCTACAGAATTCTTCGGCTGAATTACTGTGGCCAACATTTATGTGTAAGAATTGAGTTGCTCTTTTGACCGAGACTGGATATCCTGAAGCTCCTGCTCTTCTTTTGCTTTGATATCTTGGTAGGCCTGCATTTTGCTTGCATCCTTTAAGTAGGCCCAGTTAGAAGACAGTATCATGAGGAAGTGGATCTGGAAGAGAAGGGTGAGCATGATGGCTAGTGAGCATGTCAAGAGGCAAAGCAAGCTGCTAGTTAGATTAATAGACGCTCTTTAAAATAACGACCAAAACAAACAAAAAAAATAAAGTTACTCTACGTTAATAAGCATTCGGTTATTAAAACAAGCACAGAGGCTATTTTCAAAGATCTCTAGAATCTGGCATGCTAATATTTCAGTTGGTTATTCACAATTTAGAGGAAGTTAGTATAACAGTAATAAAATGAGCTACAGAGTTGTACGGGTCAATTAAAATGCAGAATGGGGGGAAGCAGGAAAAAAGTTTTGTACGTGGCCGTATATGTAATCTGTAAACTAGGACCGAGGAGGTGCTCAGAAGACCTGCTTCCTAGGGTTGTGGTGTTTACGCATATCCAAGCCCAGATCCTGGGAAGTCTTTGCCCCCAACAAGCAGATGAGAATTCCACCCTCCCCCTGGAAAAAGCCTGAAACTGTAAACTTTTTTATTTACGTGAACAAGGCTACATTAGCATAGTGTAAAATTAAACAACAAAACATGAGTCCAAAACTAAGCAAAAGCATGCAATCTCTGGGTTAAGAAGAAGTCTTAACCGTATATTTATGTAACTACATTTTAAACTTCCATTGTCCAACCTCAGATGAAGAGTTTTGTATCACATGTAGCAACTGGTTCTTTTTTTCATTATTATTATTATTATTATTATTGTTGCATGGATTTTTTTCTAGTTTGTGCATTCATCTCTTCCCAACTTCTTTTCACCATACTTCATGCAAAACATCTACATCCAAAGACACTGATTCACCACTTTTTTTTTTTTTTAATCCCAACAGTGTAAAAAGGTCTCTATGACCTATGCATGGTTTTGCTTCCCGTGCAGTCATACTTACAGTTCTGAGATCTGGCTACTGAGAAATCAGTTACTAAAGTGCAAGCCGTACAAGAACAGAAGCTATTTATACGCCGTTTCTGACAAGTTCAGGGTCCAAAAGAAAGAAGGTGATTGTTTTACGCGGAGCTAATACAAGGAGCTATTTCCTTCCAGAGAGAGCATGATTTGGCAATTACTTAAAAATGAAGTAAAAGAAAATAATCCACTTTATCATCCGTGCACCGGAAATGCAAACTGACTAATTCATAATACCTGGGCTTCTGATTCCTGCCAAGAGAGACCGGCACTACTTTACTATTCCTTTTCTTTTGTATCATATGTATTTTGTATGCTCGGGGTGGGGGGTTGTATTTGGTGTTCAGGTTGAAGGATAAATTAGTAATTCTGACCCTGAACTCTCCCAGGATTTGTTTCAGAGATGCCTGTTAGAAAGCAAGTGGAGACTTGAAATGGAAACGTCCCATCTTCAGAAGGATGATTTATAAACACCCCTACAGTAACTGAATCCTCTCGACATGAAGAAATAGCCAGATCTCATCCATACCATAGTTCATATACAAGAAGTCATTTTATTAATCTGATGAGCTAAACGATGCTTACTGAAGCTATTTACAATTACGGTAACAAAACTGAGAAAGCTAGACTTTTAGCCTAGGGTGTCAGTGGTATTTCAAGCTACGCAATGCAGCTCTTTACTGGGCTTATACAATTTAGAATTTAGTGCAGCAATCTTCCCGACTCTTAAACTTCAAAACAGCATAGTTATATGTAGTAGCCATCATGTAGATCAGCTGGTGGAAGAGAACAAAATACAGGAGAGTAAGATACAACAAGGTGACGGCTCAAGCCCACATGGGCAACTGTCGATATTTTTACAACAGACGTTATTCTGAGCTTCTTCCAGGGTGAAGATGCAAGATAAATAACTCGCCCTTTATCTGGAGAGGATAATCTACATGCAGACCTAAGGCTATTTCATCCACAAATAGTGAGTATTACACCTAGATTTGGCTGATGTGAGGTTAGAAACTGGCAGCTAGAGGAAGCCTTAAGACATAGGAAGCGAGTCATCTCGTTAACGTCCCTTTTCCAACTGCTACCTAAAATTGGCATTGCAGAGTTGGACTACTCCAACTGCCTGGGTCTAGACAAAAGAAACCCAAGAGGTTACAGGCGATTGATCAAATAAACTACAAAAATGAAAAGAAATGGTGGGCCTAAGAACAGAAATAGTGACTAGAAGTGGGCTTTTCAAAGGACATGCAAAGAATTTTTTTCTAAAGATGGGGGAGGTGCGTTAAGATGACTTCTTAAAGCAAAAGTTTGGCACCTGCTGACTTGTAATGACCAAACCACAGCAGCAAATAATGGTGATTACAGCTCGCCCTCCTTAATGTCTAGTGTCGCTATTTTTAAGATATGCAAAACGTAATCTTAAAGCATCTTAAGCCTGAAAGGAACACGTTACACGATAAAACAACAAAAAATGCTACCCACCAATGCTATGACAGTGGCACCAGCTCCAGCACAAGCCACAATGAACAGGTGGTAAGACATGTAGAACTAGAGAAAAAATATGTTAAAAACATTGAAGCAATTGAGGATTGTATAAAACGCATTTCAACTGTTCTAGAGAATAAGGATAATAAAACATATTCAAAGCTTTAGAAAATAAAAACGTTCTGAAATAATTTTCATTTTCTGGATGACCTAACACAGGATAATTTCAGTGTTGCATTTAATCAATCTCTTTATACTATTGGCACCAGTTTTCCCCCAAAACTTTCATCAAGTTATTTATTATACGGTGCCCAAGTGACTTGGAGGCAAAAAAGCTGCACGCAGGTTATGTGTCTGTACCTCATTCGTGTTGCAGATGTTCTCTAAAATCGGACCACAGGCTTTGCCAGGTACAGCGTTCCAAGGGATGATACCTGAAATACCACAGCAAAAGAAACTGCTAATTTTAGCAATCAACACAGGCTTTCTGTTCCTCTCCCATCTTTTCCACCCACTTGCCAGTTGTGTTCCCATTCTGGGCATCCGCGCGTTGACCAGTACAGCTTTGAGTTGGCAGGGGGAATTGAAACAACTCGCTCGAGTTGTGCTTTCTCCCTGTTCGGCGGCTCGCTGCCAAGGCGTGTTCTCAGATGTGCTTCTCCCATATGGCAGCCAAATGGTTGGTTGGGTTTTTGCACTCCAGGTCCAGTCACACACTGCCTACTCCCCCACTCAGCGCTGAAAGGGATAATCTGCATCTCAGGGGTACTTGGCACCTTGCAGGATAGCGCGCGCTTACCGGATTAAGTTCTACTTGAACAAGTAACTACTGTAGAAGAGTGTCAATATGGAGCTAGAGGGAAGGACTGCAGGGGTTTTGCTGGTTTAGTTCAAATAGGTGAAAAGCATGAAGTGAACACTGCTACAAGAAAATGCAGTCTGCCGCGCCTCACGTACTCCCAATTACTTTCCTCACACAACTGAAAATCTGAAAAGTCAACAGGATCTAGCAGATTTAAAATAACCTAAACTTTTAGGCCCGTAACAGATGTAAAGCTTAAGCAAAAGCCATTTGAAACAGGAGAAAACCAGTTTGTCTCCCCCATATAACTTGCACTTCAAACTCAGCTGGTTGGAATTAGCAACCCTGTCAGGGGCAGGTCATTGAAATTGACTCGGGATGGTACGGCTTTCAAAAAGATTTTATAGGATTTACTTTAAAGCCAGCTGCCTCTCTGCAACTGCAATACACACTCGAAGCCTTTTAGCCACCGCTTCCACCCAAAAATATGAGGACAATTCAGTGACACAAGTTGCCTGTTAAGGAGCTGCTCCCTCCAGTCACTCATTGAAACCCGAATGATTTTACTAATCAGAGGAAGAGCAGAGCCCCACATGGCGCTCACACAGCTGCGAAACAACCAGGAGAAGCAGAGAGGTGGAGGAGCCCATCTTCTCCCTGCGCTCCCCGGCTCTGCTGCTGAAGAAAACATCTTGCCAGCCTCTTGCTCTCAGTTGCTAAAATGGGATGCAAACATCTAACTGATTTGGGCCTTGTTGCTTTTAAAATGAGTGTATCTTATCTTCTCCTTACTGGACTTACAGCCCCGCTAGGGAAGCAAAGCCAAGCTTTCTTACTTTTCCAACTCTGAATCCGTTTTCTCAGCTTTGAATGACTTAGTCCAAAGAAAGAAACGTTCCTAGAAAATGTTAGCTAAAAGGAAGCCAAAAGTAACGGTGACAAAAGCTCTTCTGCACAAGGGAGGCTGAAAAGATTAACTTCAGGAAAAATTCACCTCAAGGAATGAACTACCTGAAAAGCCTGACCCTATTTTAAGCTGTTGTCCCCACTCCTCTGCTACCTGCACCCCCTCAGATTTCTGTGTGTCATCAAAAAGCAGTAATAATTCATTAATAGCTAAGGCAGACTCTTGATTGCAGGTTTTTGGTCTTTTAACTGAAAATAACTGTTAGAGCAAAGTTCAGGTGTTAACTTCATACTTAAATGTAAAAACAGCTTTTTGAAAGGAAAGAACATACAGGTTCCAAAACCAGAATCTGGTTATCTATTTCTCAGCGCTGTTTCTAAGCAGTTTATTTTGAGGGTGATCTATTTTTATACCTAATATTATAGTATTGGAAACCGCTACAAAATCATTTTAGATAAATGACTTGCCAGTTCAGTTGAACTGATTGCATCTGGAAAGAGTGTAATCTGAATTAATTAGAAAAGTAATAGCACATTCAAAGATGCACGATGCTTTTGCATGTGGTTCTCTTGATAAGGCTGAGACAAAACTACTGAAGACAGACCAAGGAGAAAGGATAAAGCATTTAATCAGGATTAAAATAAGTACCGTATTGCCTGATATCCACGCAGATCTGGTCCCCTGGAACTGTCACATTTGTCTGAAGAGATTTGATGACTTCGCAAGTTGACCATATGTTATAGAACATAAAGACAGGCACAGCAGAGAAGCCAAAGACCCCAAGCCAGGCCACTCCAAGCACATAGGTGAGGAAAACAAACTGGACAGAGAAAACACACGTATTTCACCTTCATTCTTTGAAAAGAATACTTGAAATTTCCTTAAAAATGCTTCAAAATAATCTTTAAGCATACTTTCAAGAAGTCAAGTAATAAAACATTTCATTTCCAAGCACAAATAAAATCAGTAATCCCATTGCTTACAAATACTTAGGTAGTTTAAGTGCTACTAAGAAAGTAATTCAGACATTTCCTTTTTCATCAGCCTGCTTGAGTAAACAGCTTGACCCCCTAAAAGAACAGTCCATTAATTTCTCAAGATTCTCAGCTAAGCAGGGATGCTGGCTGTAGGCTAAAACCAATAAAATTCCAACAAAAATGAATTTAAGGAGGTTTTTTTTTAATTAACTGTAACATACTAGCATTTCTGTACAGCTTGCAAATCAAAACAATTGAGCGAATCGATGTTCACAGCTCTCCTGTACTCCCTGATTTATTGAAATCAATTTTGAGTGTAACATTTGAGAATACCTGCTTTTGAAAACATACCACAACCGTTACAGCAGATCAGAAAGATTCAAATGATCTAATACACATAGCCAAGAAGAAAAATTAAGTTACTTCACCTTAGAGAATCGTGGATTTTCCATTGAAATTTGCTGGTTTGGGTTTGCTCTTTTTTTTTTTAAAAAAAAAAATATTATGTGCATTTTCTTTGGTAAGATTATTGCTTTGGAAATCTCCAGTTTCCTCCTCCCACTGGACCTCTTCCCTTTCCCCCTCTTCTTCTATGTTTTATGGTGAAACAGTAGCTCTGGCATCAGTTCCTAGCTCCCTCCTCCTGATGAGACTGGGATTTGGATCCTGCTTGGTAAGTAGGGGACAGCTGCTCCATCTTGTGTGTTCCCTTTTCACTGTTATCTAACTGTAGGTGGACTGGAAAGGCTTCACTTCCAGTAAAGCACTGATGCTGTACTATCATACTCAAAACTTGTGTGCCAAAGAACAACAGCAAGGATGGGAAAGGCTCTGAGGGGAAAAATTGTCTCAGCCTGACCCAGAACTGATGGACTGAACTACTGCTGCAGTGGTGGAAGTTTGCATCCTCATAGTTTTTTGTTGTTTTTTTTTTTTTTGGTCCAGATGTGCTGAACAACACTGCAAACATTACAGCAAAGGTTGAGCAATTGGTCAGGTTTTACAGTCAGCGGAGGCGGTGTGTGTGTGGAGGTAGAAGTGCTTGCAAAACTAAGGGCTACAAAAACCCCCGCTAGCCTTTCAATTATACACAACTGAACCGAAACTATTTCGTTATTAGATAGTGCCATACACCAGACCTGTATGTTTTATGCTAATTGAGAATTCTCTCTTTGGATTTTGCTAAGGACCAAGTGGACCAGTTTAAAGGATTTCTATTCATACACTATACGTAAAATATGGGTTTGCATACATGGATGTGGAACAGTGCATGAGAGAAAGTACCCAAAAGCTTTAACTCCTAAAATAGCCAGGGAAAAACACACTTACTCTCACATTTAATGCAGTAACTGTGGGAAATGGCTATTCTGCATTACCACAGCCAACGCAAATAATTTAGGAAAGTCGGAAGTCTGTCGTCTGTAATAACCTTATGCAAGATGGAAGGGACTGCCTTTCAGGACCTTGCTTGGTAATGTAATGGAGGAAGAAGTAGAGGAGCTCTTGATCAAAGATGCAAAAAACTCACTGTATGTCCAAAAGCTCATTGTACATAGCTGCAGCCACTAGTTTGTTAAGATACTGTATCCCCTCCCAAACCTTGTTCTAACCCTGGTGTTTTACGCAGCTCTACCACTACACAGTGGCATACAGGAATTCTGACACCATGACTGGTACCACTGAACACTGATGTGTCTTAACAGAGCTCCAAGCCCTCACTCGGCTGCTAAATTCTCTCCTTCATTGTGTGGACAAATATGGGCAAACATGAAAATACATTTTTCTGTCGTATTTCCATGTGTCACGCTGGTATTTGTACAAGCAGCTGACAATCATGTGCCTGCAACTACTCAACTGCACAAGCAATTGTCTGCACTAATGAGATGCACATACATTTATGTTTCTAATGTATTCTGGATCTTTGGAAAACACTGCTTTAGCTCTAATTTTGCTCCTCAGTGAAGATCATACTTGCTAGAAAAAGAGCAAGTAAATGGCTGCTTAACTGGAAAGTTATCGGATGTCTTATTTTTATTAGCTCTTGAAAAATTCAGTAAGTATCCCACAGCACAGCGGAAAATTGTTAACCCTCTTGAAAATAAACATGCATCTCTTTTGTATTTAACCAGCTGAAAGTACATATTTTTAAAGTACAGGATATAGATTGTATATTAAAATGCAACAATCACATCAAAAGCCTCTTCTCTTTTCACCCACACTTTCCCGTGGGCGATCTGTCATACTGCTTAGCTTCCTCCATTACTACGAGCTTTGAATTCAGACTTTCAGAAATAGCTTTGAAATCCTGTCTCAGAAACATAGTTATGTTTCTGTTCTTGCAGAGTGCGCCCTAGGGGGCAACGTGGGTGAGAATCTGAAGTTTTATTTTTAGTTAAACTTTGTTTAAAATTTCATTCTGATACAAAAGTATACTGAAGGGAAGATGGCTTGTAACTTGAAGGCTTTAAGTGTTTCAGCTTTGTGAGAAAGACTATTATATCTGTATGCCTTTTGCCATCTGCAAAAGCAAGACAGCAATACTTGAATCAAGTACAAAGATGTTGTGAAGATTCATTCATGACTATTTGTCTGAAGGATCCAGACATTCTCAAGCAAAATTGACTGTGGAAATCAGAGGCATTACAGTTTGTTATTTTAATAGCTCTGCAAACCACAGCCATTTTACAGTCTGCCTTTAAGCATCACTAGTGTGCTCCATGTTTAAAAGCACAAATTTCATTTTGTCTCACATTGAGAGTTTTAAAATTAGCAGTCTCCATCAGCTTAGTTCAGACCAGTGGGTTCTGCTTTATGACAGTGGAGGAGCACCCCGACAGTCCATCTGCAGAATGTAGATTTGACCAAGCATCCTCGAAGATCAAAGAAGGATCTGCAACAGGGATTGATTGTGACCACCCATAAGGAGTTAAACAAAGAAGGCAGCAATACACTGTTGTTCAAAAACAAGAGGAGTCAAACTGAGCCCAACAAGTTTTAGCAAGCCCAGACCACTGTTCCCATTTCTGATACTACTCACCATTCCACTGATGCAGCGGCCACAGGCTGTTGTTTTGAACTCTCCATGCAGCTCCTTCACAGCACTTGTTGTATAAAAACCTTCTGCCAAAAGGATTATTCCGTATAAGAAGAAAAATGATGCAATGCCATAAATTACATACTGCATGAGCTGTATTCTAAAATGGGAAAGAAAGAAGATAGAATTAGATTTCAGTCCTATGAAAACAGTCAGTCCTCCCAAATCATAGCAGGTATGAGATAACTCGTTCTCTAGAAAATACAGTTCAAGGCTCCTTAACACATTTTAAGCAAGCAGGCTGCAGGAGAGCGCCAGTATGACTATCCCACTTCTACAGGTAAGCAATACTGGTGTTCATTAGTCTTGCATCTGCTCAAGCATCCCCTGATTGCGCTGCAGTTCTGACACAGACTGGTATTAGTCACCAGCTTGAAGCCGCAATTTCATGCCCCACTATGAAGGTGTTTTTTTTTTTTTTCCTATTATTGATGCTGACACCTAACTCAGGGAATGTCTGACAGGGACAACACAGGGCTTTGAAATGGCAAAGACTGGAGCTGAACTACTGGCTGAACTATCAGGCTCTGTGGTGATTCCTTTGGCTTAGGGAAAGGAAACAGTCCCTGAAATTCACCATTTCTCCCTCTAAAATCCATTAATGTACATTTGCAAAAATTTGTAAATTCAGTGATACTTGTCTGATACAAAAAAACTCAGCAAATATGCAGTGACTTCTCCTGGGGAGGAATGGCTTGCTCTACAGCCTAGGAGGATACTTCCAAGTAGGCAGGTAGTTTCAGTGCCTTAAGTCATGGCCGTGTTGAGCTCCCCAAAGTGTAATTACATTTTAAAAAACTGAAACAAATATTTAGGCAATGTTTCAATCTGAGGTACTCTGGAACCATCCAGAGGAAGAAGATCTCAGGGCACATGGTATAAGCACTTCCCTCACATATTACCTGAGAAAGTTCTCGATTCCTTAAAAATCTACCATCCCCAACGACACTCTTACAGTATTTGTACTCTGGCTAGAATGGAAAGAATAATTTCTGAATATTATCAATCAGATTCAGTATCTGAAGCTAATTGTTTTGGAGGACCAGAATGCCAAATCTTCCATACAAGTCGTACTTTGTTATTAGCACAACTTCTCCAGAACGTATACCTTTTTAAATGTAATTTAATTGTTGGGATGGTTATTTTGGATGAAGCTATTCACAGAACAGAGAGGTTAATTTTACATGTCTGTACTGCTAGTTTTCTAAGGAGAAATATATTTTTCCTCAAATGTTTTTTTCAATTCTTACCACTCTCCACTAAGTAGCTGCTCGCATAGACCTCCAAGGAGCATCTGCATGGTTTAGCTTAATTTAAAGAAAACTGATGACTACTATTTATATAGTTAAATGTTATACAGACAGATAGCACATCCCTTGTATCAAACTAGTATTGCTCATTTAAAATTATATGTGGGAAGTCTTATGTTTGTTTTCCAAACTGATTAAAAATAAAAATAACAGGATAAATCCGTTGCATCTGTGCTGTAAAGCATGACAAAATTAAGTCACAATTCAAGACAGTATAGAAGAATTCATTTCACCATCATTAATAGTCTAGGAGAGACTCAATGCATGTTACCAGAAATTAGTGATATAAAACCTGATTGAAAAAATCTGTTCCGAAGGGTGACTTACTAGCATAATTTTTCATTTATTTTATGTACCTGTGGCCTTAAATTATTTGCCCCCTTCTAGCACCCCTTCCCCCTTAACTTTCTTGTTAGGCCTCCACAGAGTCTGAGACCTCAGCCGCTTTGGCAGAAATTAGGCGTTTCCTCAGCTGCTGATGCTGACTTGACAAGAAACATTGTCAACGATTCTCCAAAATTTAAAACTTGCTGCCTGTTACGGCTTCTTCTGCAATTTCTTCTATTTTGCTCAAATGAAGACTCATACAAGAAGAGGGCATTTTGTTACGCAGTTGCTGAAGAACAGCTGCTCATGGTTTCTGGCCAAACGCTGTAGCTAACTGCAGGGTGCTCATGGCTCGCGCACTGGAGCTGGGGACATGGTGCCCGGCCACAGCCAGAGTGTGAGGGTGGAAGGTGCTGGGGTGGGGGACCCCCAGTCCTGGAGCCAGGTGGCAGGTCTGGGCAGAGAGGGTCCTGCAAGGGGGGAGGGAAGCTCCAAAACGGTGCTGCGGGACTGACACCAGTGGTGCCGGGGGATGGGAAGGGCTCAGCCGTCCACAAGCGCATAAAGGGAGTCAGTGATGAAAGAAAAGAAAACAAAGGAGAATTAAGTGTGTCGGGTTGGACCCCGATATCAAAGTCTTTGAATAATGTCCTTAAAGCTGGGTCTTAGGGGCAGGTAAGCAAAACACGCGTGCCGTGTTCATTGCCAGCGCACCCCTGCATGCGCAACACCCACAGGCGCGCACCACACAGGCCGCCTCTTCATGGCCTGCACAGGGCCCCCCTCCCCAAGCCCTCAGGTGGCTTTCAGAAGGTTTTGGCTGCCCTTCCTCAGGCCTGCCCCCCTGCCCTGGGACAGAGGTGTCTCCAGGGGCCAGCTGCGCACTGTGCCCGTGGCCAGTGCTGGCCCGTGGTGGGCAGTGGGCAAGAGGCCGAACCCAGACCCAGTCAGCATCCTGACACCGGTGCGCAGCCGTCAGGAATCACAACTTGTGCAAAATTCCTCGCTGCCACCTGACAAAAGCCTTTTCAAAGCCTGGGGGTTCAGCTGGAGGGGCCGCATAAAGGCCCAGCATGGTCAGACCACTGGCCCACAGCCTGGGACCGGCGTGTCCCTCAGCGTCAAAGAGAAGCAGAGGCTCACGCTGGTGGCGCTCGGCGCTGGCCCTCATGCAGGGCACCTTCCTCTGGTGTCATGGAGAAGCCTCGGGAGCACAAAAGCCTCATATAATTCACCGGTGGTTATTTCCAAAGGCTATGGTTGCAGAGACAAACATTTAAGCTCTTTCCAGTCTGTCCTCTCTCTTTTTTCTCATTTGTACAATCCCAGTCCACCTTCTTCTGAGGGGGGATGGACAGAACAACACTTCCTTGTTATTCCTGTCATTCCTTCAAACTTTGCATCACCAACAAACACTAAATCTACCCTCCTTCAGACTAAAATCATTACCCCTTGTTCTGTCACTACAGGCCCTGGTGAAAAGCATTTCTCCATCTTTCTTATAAATCCTCTTTAAGGAAGGCCGCTATAAGGTCTCCCTGGAGCCTTCTCTTCTCCAGGCTGAACAGCCCCAACTCTCTCAGCCTCTCCTCATAGAAGAGGTGCTCCACCTGATCACTTTTGTGGCTCTCCTCTGGACACGTTCCAACAGGTCCATGACTTTCCTGTGCTGAGGACTCAGGAGCTGGATGCAGTACTCCAGATGGGGTCCCCCCAGAGTGGAGTACAGGGGCAGGATCACCTCCCCTGACCTGCTGGCCATGCTTCTTTTGATGCGGCCCAGGATACAGTTGGCTTTCTGGGCTGCAAGCACACATTCCTGGGTCATACTGAGCTTCTCAGCCACCAACATCCCCAAGTCCTTCTCTGCAGGGCTGCTCTCCATCCCTTCATCCCCCAGCCTGTATTGATACTGGGGCGTTGCCACGACCCAGATGCAGTACCCTGCACTTGGCCTTGTTGAACCTCATGAAGTTCACAGGGGCCCACTCCTCAAGGCTGTCAAGATCGCGGTGGATGGCATCCCTTCCCTCAAGTGAACTAACTGCACCACTCAGCTTGGTGCTATCTGCAAACCTGCTGAGGGTGCACTCAATCCTACTGTCCACGGCACTGATGAAGATATTAAATAGTACTGGTCATCATATAAACAGGTTAAGCAGGATACACTGGTTGTTTGTGCATGAACACAAAAAAACCACTGCGTGCTGCTGGACAAACAAGCAACCTAATACTCAGGGATGGAGGCTGAGGTTTGAATCCATCTCTACTCATTTAGCATGAGGGTGTTATGAGGAATAATGGAAATGGGAGGCATACTTACACTTCACTCAGCAAAGCATGGTCGCTGGCAGTCGTGGAGAAGTGCTGCTCAAGGATAGACACGGTTCCCGTGAGTGCCACGTGGCCGCAGCCACAAAACAACGCTACCCCCGAGAAGCAGAGAATGGTTGCCACGAGCGAAGCATATGGCACTCCTCCTAGGCACTTAATGCAACATTCAAAGCAACCTAAGCAGAAGAGAGAAAGCAAAAGAAACATTATGAGCAAAAAGCAAATTATGAGAAAAAGAGTATTTGTATTCAGAGGAGGAATCTGTATTCCATGAGGAAAAGAATATCTGTTCTCCACTTGGTAAAAACCACAGGGACTAAAAGGCCCAGGCATTGACATGCTAAGCAAAAATCTATAGGTGGTGCAAGACAACATCACCCTCTAAAGCAGTGACCTACAGATCTGTTGGTATGGACTGAAAGCCCAGAAAGTGGGCTGAGTGCTCCTGTCTTTACAGGATCAAGAGGAGATCGATGAGACAGCCCATGAAATGGAAAAAGAAAAAAAATCACTTGTCTGAAGTGATCCATTGCAATTCAGCTGCTCATGCGGAGCTCGCCACATTTCAGCATTACTAACAGCAGGAGCAGCAGCTACGCTGGCACCATTCAGGAAGCCAAAGAAGCGAATACTCAAGACAATGAAGCCTTTTGGAAAAGTAAGATACGTTGCACTTCCATTGGAAGAGGAACACATTTAGGTCTGCAAAACTTAATCACCCTACACTCTCCCATGGCTCCCGAGTATCTTTTTGTATGCATCCGTATGAGGTTATAGGGATACAGATATTTTAACAACAAAAAAATGGAATGGGGGACACAGAGTAGCAATTTTTAATCGAGAGCAGTGAAGTGAAGCTGTACTACACAGACAATACATTTCCAGCTTTATAGGATACACTGGATTTACAGTGATCCCTGAATACAGTCTACAGTAGCATAATCACAGTTTTAATGAAATGTATCGTTTAAGCAGTCTGAGTTAACAAAATACCCCCCCAGAACTGCTGTTCTACAAACACTGTAATAAGGAGGTTGCAGCTGAATTGCCAGGTTCCTCCCGACCGCGTGGCCTGAAAACCCATCTGCTTGCAGAGCTGGGAAATGTAAATCGGAAACAAACACAGCTTTTAACTGCGCTATAATGGTAATGGCAATCCATACCAATTCATTACTTTTGGGTGATGGCATTAAGCTGTCTCCATTAATGTGCATTTCATACAACTGCGCAAAACACAAGCCATTAAGACAACGCTTAATGGAGCGACCAGCATTGCGTGTCGCAGGAACAGCCCGCTGCTTCTACGGGAAGGTACTAAATGGACAAAGCATTTGAAGGCAGGGAGACAGCTGGTGAGTACGTACATCACATCACATCTTCCCGCCCCAAAAATTCCTCGCAAAGATCAGCAAGTCTCCATCCGCCACATGAGGCAAGTTTATTTTTATCCCCCTCCCATTCCCACTAATGAATGAGTTGCAGAGCAGGCACTTCCGTGAAGCACAGGGGAATAATATCCATCTGATAATTGAAAGCTTTCTCATTTCCTAAGTGGGAAACTCTTCTTTTAGAGAGTCACTAGCAAGTGTCCTAGTCAGGCTTATGCAGCTATCACCACCGAAATGACTTATGATACGCCACTTCGCTAACTGCAGACCAAATTTAATTGTACACAGACAAGCCTGGGAAGCTTTTATAGTCAAGCCCACAGCTGGAGTCCACTCAGTAGGAACTATCTTCATGACAAAAATACTGCCGAATGAACAAACACTGCAGCTTAGCAGTGATGGGGAAAACAAAACCCAAATGCACGCTATCAGAGGAAATAATTTCTGGTTTTCAACTTATCACAGAGGTCCAGAGTCAAGTTCAGACACCAGACCTCGCAGAGCGATCTTCTGCTTTGGGGGATCTGCCTGAATGCAGCTCACAAGCCACACGCCAGACGCATCAGCAGTTGCACACATGAGGCTGGCTCGCCTCCGCAGCATCTGCTGCCGGGTCAGGCCCAAACCTCCAACAGTTAATCCAAGAAACGCTTGCACCTGGCACAGGATTAGCAGTGAAGGATTACCCAAGAGTAACGATGCTCCGATCCAGCGGGCAATGCTCAACACACACATGTGGCCTCAGCCCAGCTCAAAATGAATGGCCTTTCGGGCCACGCTCCCATAGGACAAGGTGACTAAACATTGCTTGGTGTGGAGGAGACTGATCACCTAATCATGCTGATCCACAGATTGCTTCGCAGAAGGATCCCATCAGAGGCAGGAAATAAAAAACAACTGGAAGCAAAGCCAAGGGATCAATGAAGTCCGAAAGAACAGCTGCCGGTTTAAGGAGATGGGGTCAGCTGGCTTGACAAAACTCTAAAAAACGGTATAGATCCAGGATTGACAATTAACCCCCCCACAAGGAGGTGGCTGTCCTCCTGGTGCCCCCCACCACACAGCTGCCTTTCCAGGCCACCAGCACAACACTCGCCCTGGAGAGTTTATTGGATCCCTTACCCAAACACACGGCAATACCTGTCACTGATCCACAGACCCTCGAACACAAGCCAACAGCGGCAAACCCCCTCTCATCTCCCACCAACTGGCAGCTGCATATAGCATCTTTGTGGCCGTATTCTTTATGTCTTTCTCTACAGCCCAAGTAAAAAGGCACCACAGTACCCAGGTGGCCTTTGTTTTATCAGTGCAGACCACGGCCAAGGGACGTCCTAAGAGGTGTCTAAAGCAACCACACTATTTTGAGCGAGGCAGAGAAAACTGCCCAGATGTGGAACTGCAGAAACTACTCACCGTCACACCAAGACCAAAGCAGGAAGCAGAGGGACTTCAGTTCACAGGGAAATAGCACGCTGCCAGCATGCAAGCAAAGGAAGCATCCCAAACCAGCATGTTTCCGAGAGAGCATCCATCCGTACATAGTCATTCTGCACCCAAATTGACAGCAGAGCTGCACAGCCGCCTGCCAGAGGGTAACTAACTGTGGGACACAACCTTATCAATGTGCTGGGGCTGCCAGACCCCCCACAGATCCCACTGCGAACACTTCTTAGGAGCAGCTTAAATCCATGCCTAGCCTGAGCAATATAGCTGGTTTTTATAATTTTGTTTTAAAGCAAGCCTCAAACAGTACTGCTGGGCACAGCTTTCAAAACCAGCTAAAATTTGAAGCTCATCAAGCACTAGGATACGCTTACCAAGCTTCCCAAACAAGCACTGAAGCATATTGGAGGATTCCTGAAAAAATTGAAAGCTTTCCAGGAAACGTGCTTTATGTAACCCCAAGTCAAGCAAGCATCTTCATACAGTACAACCGAAAACCCATGATGATGTTTGCCTAGTCCATGTTCACAAAACAACTTGCTAACGCACTGATGATAACTGCAGGCTGAAGGCCTGTGAACTCAAGCTGACAAAAAATAAGTAGTATTAAAATAAGTTTAGTTCAAATTTTCTGCTAGTTTTACTTTCCATATGGCAAACACGGTGAACTTTGCAGCTGTCTATCCGCTTCCAACACAACAGTGTAAAATGATTTAAATATGAAACTGTACAGCACAAACACACATCACTGCATCTCCCCTTTCAATGGCCATTTTGTGCGAGGCATCACTAGAACCTTTTGTGCAACTCAGCAGAATAAAAACATTTTTTGTCCTCAGGCTGGCGAGCAGCAGTTGCCATGGAGGCAGGTTAATAACAGCCCAATGATTTGCCCAGAGCTGCCTGTGATCTTGGCTACAGATTTAACACACTCTCAGAAGGAGGCCAGCTGAAACAAGGACTGAGATTATTCTCTAGGGAATGAATGCTATTAAACACACACATACACACACAAATATTCTTGCTAAAGGACAAAAATAAAGAGAAGAGAAAAAGCAGGAACCGGCTATTCTTTTAATCTCCTGGAAACTATCAGTCACAGGAAATTGGTAAAGGATGAACCTACATATGTACACTAATCGGCAATTGGTTGCTTAATGTATGAAGAACAACTGTACAATCCACCAAGAAGTGTACAGGCTATTGCATATATGCAGGGGCTTAGCCATGCAATTTCCCAAGTCAAATGGCAATTGTGTGGCTAAACCTTCTTCGGTACTTTAAGTATGGCTTTAAGATTTAAACTCAGGAAAGCAAGGTAATGCAGAATTAATGGAAAGCGGTCTTAAAAAAAAAAAAAAAAAAAAAGGCAATTCTCAGACCCTAACTCATCCTACTAAGGTCAAGATGGAGCGGAATGACAAAATCTGTGCTTCGGAGATGACAAAAACCAATCCAATGGGATCAGGTAGCTGTCTTGAGTATTCCCAGAGCTTGCTCTACAAAGTTTGCACATCAGTTCTTCAAGCCCGGACTTGAAAAGCTGAGACAGACGCATGTTCACAAAGCCATCCCTCAAAGTGAAGCATGGAAAACATGAGTGTCCACACCTCCTGGACAGAAAACCAGCCTGTCCTCTAACATCCCAAACTCCTCCTAGGTTGAACTAGTGCGTCAAGGTATCTCAGGTATGAATCATTGATCCTATAGTCAAGGTCATTATGGAACAAAAACCCAAGGAACAAAGAGAACCTGAAAGGAGGTTAGAAAAGCTCTCCATTTCAGGAAGCTAAACCTCCAGGCTTCCATGACTGTTTTCTGAGTTAGTTCTCACTTTCTTTTCCTTAGAAGTTTTGTTTCATCCCCTCCCATAATCTGTCTTGCTGTTCTGAAAGATGAAGCAATGGGCACCAGTTTTTCTCGTCACCTACTTCCTGTAATTGTGTAATGCATTTTTAGAAATCCTGGCATGTTGGACACCTGTCCCGTTAATACGTGGTTGAAATTACACGGCATGTTCCACCACAGAACCATGATCTCTATTGGCTTCAGCACCACAGCTCAGGGAGCAGGTGTGAAAGAACTGTTTTAACAAAAAGAAGGTTGCAAAAGACCCAAGGAAAGAAAAAGCACTAGATAACATCTTGAATGCAGCCATCGCATGTAAATCAGGCTCATTATTATACATCCACAGGAGCCTGGTGTTGGGAGCACTACTCCCAATCACAAATACATGTAAGAGGAGAACTCAAGGCTTTACATTCACCCTGTTTCCCCAGAGCTGAAGATTATCCAATACCAATTGTGCGTAATACCATGGGATTCCTAAACCACCACGGATC